TGTGGTTTTCATGCATTTTCCAAAGGTACCGCACACTGAGATCATCCCCCTCCAGACCAATAACATCAGGAAGTCTCCTTCCTGACAAATCAACAACCGTGGTGAGATTCGAACCCGGGCCTCATGGTCAGAATGCAAACATTCTAACTACTCGTCCACACGCCCATATATCATTTTAAACATTATTTCTAGTGAACACTTGTATTTGAATAGGTGCTCAAACAGTATACTAAACAGTATATTTATATATTTTTGTCTACCCACCTGAGATTTCCGGATTTAAGGTTTCTCGGACACTGGAGCTGATAGACAAAAATAAATAAATATACTGTTTAATAAATAAACAAAGCACCTACTCAAATATGAGTTTCCACTAGAAGTGATAAAAATCTGTCAGATTAATAAAAAAATCCATTCTCTAATTCTCTTTGTTTACTTTTGGATACAAAAATGTGCATATGTGAAAGATTTTGAGAGATTTTATGATGAGTGAAATTTCACTTGAAGGCACAAAATTTGGTTTCGCCTGACTGACTGCTCTTCAAGTTGGTTAAGGCATGCCATGCTTAATGGTAGCTCCCTCTGCCCAGAGGGATGCAAGTTCAAATCATGCTGGAGAGTGAAAATTTTCTTAAACATTCAGACCAGTAGACAAAAATAAATAAATGTACTGTTTAATAAATAAATGGAGTGCATACTGAAATATGAGTGTTCACTAGAAATAATGTTTAAAGCAATGAAAATCTGTCAGATTAACAAAAAATCCATTCTAAAATATATATAACATACCACCAAAATGGATGCTTTTTTTTCTGAAATGAAAGAAAAAAATTACTAATCCCTGTTTTAAAATATTTACCAAAAATCAAGAAATTATCTAATTCAAATAAAATCTTCAGTACATATTCATTAATACTGAATAGGTTATTTTATTAGAAAACTTTGTCGAAATATTTGGTGGGGGTGGCATCTATTTCACTCTCCCCCTTTTTGATATCTTATGTGTACTATTTAATTTGGTGGGTGTGTATTTGTCAATTTTTTTACATTTATATAAAGAAAAATCCCTGAAGATGCTTTTGCAATATCAAGCATGAACATATGGACAATTTGTCATGAACCTTGCCAGAAAGAATTCAAGAAAATTCAAAAAATAAACTTTTCTGACAGTTGGTGCTTGCATAATTTAATAAAATACATTATTTTTTTTCAGATTAGACAGAAAAAATCTACATTTAATATTTATTTTTTTTAAATTACT